ACAAAGGAAATGGTGATAAATTTTATTACGTTCAAATAAAGAGCTTGTTTTTGGAGGACAGGTACTAGTAAGAGAGTAAACAGGTTAGCCACAGAGTAAAAGGAAGATATTTAAAAAGCATTCTGATCGAGTCCAAGTATGTAGAGTTCCCAAAACTGGACAAACTAAATCAGCTTTAGAGATGCATGGTTAGGTGGTAAACATATAAAAACATAAAGAAAAGCAAGGAAACAATTACCATTCGAGCCGGGAGAGTGGCTGCCTCTGGAGGAACGGCGCGGAGCAGCTGTTTTGGGGTCCGGGGGGGGCTCCGGGGGCAGGCCATTTCGCTTCTCGACCAGAATGGTTTTACACTGGTGTTTGCTTGCGGTCATTCATTGAGCTATCTGCTTTGTTTTTGTACATTTTTCTAAATGCACCTTTCACTCATGACATAAAAGTTTAAAATAGCATCTATCTCGTAAAATACTGTCTATTACATAAGTATCTATCTCATGAGATCGTTCATAGGATCCAGCTGCAAAGAGCCTGACATGTGAAAAGTGCCCGCTAAAGCTCGTGACTTTGATTACCATTGGATTGGGGGCATTTTGAATATGATCTGCTCATGCGTGTGGAACTCAGCAGAGGATTTGTGGGTGGCCCACATAATCATGGGAGGTCACCCAGGGAGGGTGTGTGAGGCACAGGTGAGGTACACAATGTCAGGGGCTGAAAGGACTGGGCCAGCCCAGGCAGGGCGATGCATCTCTCCCACTGGCTCTTTCAACCAGCAGACCGCAGAGTCCCCCACACATGGGGATCCAAGTTCAGGGATGGGGGCGTGTTTTAGTGAGTCAACCTGAAAGTTCTGGAGGATGGGGTCATGCCAGTTGTAGCTCTAATCCCCTCCTACCATTGCTCAGTGAGGCCTGGGTCAGAAACAGCCCTGGCCTGTGAGTGCTAACCAGCCTTGGCCAGAACAGCCGGGCCCCTGTCCTGTGGGGGTGGGGGGTCCAGAGGCAGAAGTGTGGGGACTTTATCCACATTAGCCTCTATGCTTCAGGAAGCTTCTCACTGCCACCCCACACTGGATAGTGCAGGGCAGGGCAGATTTACAGAGTGTGAGCCACCTCAGGCAGGCACCTCAGTGGGCCAATGGCTGGTGGTGCTCCCCAAAGCCACTCAGGCAATGAGGGGTCGGCTCCCCTGCAACCTGGCCAGACAACCTTTATTTATTATGTCAAGGGTACTGCGGTATAATTTTTATTCAATTAAATACACCCTTTTAAAGCATATAGTTTAATGAGTTTGACAGATATGCATGTTCACACACCACCATAATCCAGGGGTATATGTCTGTCACCCAGAAATTTCCCTTGGCTCTTTACAGTCAGTCCCCTCCTCCTACACTTGGCCCTTGGCAGCTGCTGATCTGTGTCCTGTCCCTATCATTTTGTCTTTTCCAGAGTGTCAAGTAATGGGATCATTTGGGTTGCAGCCTTTTGAATCTGGCTTTATTCACTAAACACATTTGCTTTTAAGAATGATCTGTGTGGTTGCAAGTATCAATAATTCCTTCCTTTTTATTACTCAGTAGTGTTATCACTGTATGTATATATCACAATTAGGTGGACATTTGGATTGTTTCCAGTTTTGGCAATTATGAATCAAGCTGCTCTATTCATGCACATACAGGTCTTTCAGTGGACACATATTTTCATTTCTCTTGGGTAAACACCCAGGAGTGAGATCGCTGGTTTGTATGGTACATGTGTGTTTATGTTTTGCCAAAGTGGTATATCCATCTTTGTTTTTATTCCCATTGGTAGAGCCGAACTCCCGTCATCAACAGCAGGACCGCTGTGGAAAGACCACTAACTCACTAATTCAGAGAGAAACTCAAGTTATGAAATAGTTGTAAAAAGTTTTGCTGTTTTAGTACTTTAAGTACCAACCCGAGCTCTAAGGATTGAGGTAGGAGTACCCACCCTTTCTGGGTGACAAACTGTCCCTGTTTGCCCAAGACTCTTCTGGTTTTTAGCCCTGAAAGTCTTATGTCCTGGGGAACCCCTCGGTCCTAGGACCAGACTGGGACAGGAGGTCACTCCACTATTGGGTGTCAGGTGCTGTGCCAGGCACCGTACCTCCCTCACATCATTTTATTGATAGGCTAATGTCAAGGGTAGGGTTTCTTGTCCCATCCTGAGCATAAGGAAATAGTCTCTGAGAGGTTAGGTTGATTTTCTAGCCCACATTCCAGAATGGGTAGAGCCAAATATTGGCAACAGGCTCACCAGACTCCAAAGCATCGGTGTCTTTCAGCACAGGAGACCTCATTCCCCAGGGGCTAAGATATGGGCCGCCGGGGTCTGGGCCAGCAGGTAGGCCTGGGTGGAGCTTTGCTGCCCTCTGGTGGCAGATATGGTGGCACTCTGGGTCTGAGTCCATTCTTGTGAGGCAGAGAGGCTAGGGAGGCATCCTTTCCCCCCAGGGAGCAGGACCTCAAATCTGGCCTCAGCCCTAGAAGGGTGCCACGGGGATGGCTCCCCCCAGTGTCTGCTGAGGGTCTTGGTCCAACCATCCATAAGTCACATCATCACTTAGGGCCTCACAGACCTAGGGCCAGACTGCTGGGTTTGAGTCTGTGACTCCGCCAGTCATTGACATCTCTTGGTCTCAGTTCTTTATCTATAAATAAGGATGACAATTATGCCAACACACTTAGACTAGGCTTAGAATGAGGGTATTACCAGTTCCTTCATACTCACATGGCTTAACTCTTCCCCACCTTTATGCACTCATTCACCTCATTCATTCGCTTGACTTCCATCCCGCAGCTGGTCTCTTTTACCAAGCATCACCTCTGTGCCACACCCTGAGCTGAGGGTGCCAGGGAGACCGCTGCCCTCCTGGCTCTGTAATTTTCCACTAATGGTCTCATGTATCTATTCCTTCCTTCTTTCATTCATTCACCATGATGTATCCATTTATTTATTGAATGTTCATTTTTTTCAATTACAATTGACATTCAATATTATTTTATAGGGTGTTCATTCATGTCTCATATTTTCACTCATTTAACTTCCTTATTCATTTTTGATCATCTCATTTACATGTTCCTTCATTATTTTTTCCGGCAGTTGTTGAGCGCCTCCCTTCCTCTCGCCTCGTCCCCTCCCCCATATCCCATCTGCCACAGCAACCCACCCCCCTCCCACCCACCCCCAGTTCTGCAAGCATTCTGGAAGCACCACTGTACTCTAGGCCAGGATTAGATGCTGAGATTTTGACTCAGCTCTCCCCTCAGACTTGTGGATAGGCAGATGATAAGGACATACCTGCCAGCCATTGGGACTCAGAGCAGAGGAGAGAACCAAAAAGAAAGCAACTGTTGCCGGGAGGAAGGGGCTGGGGCAGTCAGAGGATTCATGGAGGAAGAAGCATTTAAACTGAACTAAGAAGGGTGTGTGGGAGTTCTCCAGGGAGGAAAGGACACTCCTGGTAAAGTGTGTGTTTGTTTTGGTGTGTTTGGATAAAAACGAGGTGCCTGGGTGGCTGGAGTCAGTGAAGATAGAGTCATGTGTCCCTGAGCACACCCAGGCCAAGCCTTCCCTAGGGTACAGTGACAGACCTGGGCCACTCTAGACCTTCCTCTAATTTGTCACTCTTGGCCCCTGGAAAACCACCCACTACCAGGCAGCCAAGAATGGTCTGGTAGTGCTCAAACAGCACCCCGTCGCAGGAGCCAGCGGTTCCACCCCTGAACGCTCAGTGGGCGAACCACCCTGGGCTGAGCGGGCTGAGCAGGCAGCAGCACTGACAGTACCTGAGATGCCTGGCCCCCAAGATCCCATGGTCACCCTACAAATGTTTGAGTGGCTTTCTGGGAGCTCGGCCTTGCCGCAGACATTGGGAATACAGTAGTTTCAGACACAACTTCCGCTCTCTAGTGGGCAACAAATGATAAACGAGAAAACCAATTGTGAAGACCACCAAGAACTTACCAGTGGGTGAACAAGTTGGGTTTACTACCTCTTTCTAGGATGACTGCACTAATTTTAGCAAATGGGTGTTAAAGAGGATTTATAGGATTTAGGTTTAGGTTAAATGATTTGGGGGAGGGTTCAAGTACCTGGGTTTCTATTCTGGATTAGATGCTCCCAAGAAGCAGAGACAATTCTATGATTAGATGTCTTAAATATTTAAAGCAGGAGGAATGAATAAATATTTACAGCAGGAGGCCAACGCTGTAAAGTAGCAGCAGTTACTCATTATTAGCCAGAGAAGCGAAAATGTGCAGTCTTTTTCTAGTTCCAGAGATATTCTCGTTTTCGTTTGAGTTCAAACATGATTACAGAACATTCTTGTTTACATCTTGCTCCATCACGGTCACGGAATAGCCTGATGTGATGTTGGTGTTCTGGGAAATTGTTGATGTCCAACAGGAGAGCGCCAGCACCTAGCTGTGAAGGCCAGGTCAGCTCCTAGAAGTGAGGAACAGCTTTTCTCTTTCTCATAAACAAGTCTCATTCACTTGGCATGGGTATGGCGAGGTGCCAGATGCAGAGTAATTCAAGGTGGGCAAAAGAGATAGGCCCCAGTCCTTAGGGAGTTGTTTGCGCTCTCCTAAATAAAGATAGTCAGAAATAGATGGGGGAAGTGGACCAGACCCAAGGATCAGAACAAAGGCCGAGGGAGGGAGGGGAGGCTGAGAGACAGCATGGGAGCCAAAAGAGCGCTGAACCGCACGCAACTGGAGAAGCCGGCTGGGGAGGCAGGGCCTCTTCTCGCCCCGGGTTGTGGGCGTTTCGCTGCCGGGATTTGCCCAGAAACAGGAAATGAAATCAAGCAGCGAAGATCAAAACAACCCACCGGACTCGGGTTCATTACCCGAAAAAATTCATGAATATTCAGCAGCCTGGTTCCAGTTTGAGATTCCGTCCCAGTCCCGCCCAACTGGGAGACTGCGCTTGCGTAGCTGGCTCTCGGCTCTGTCGTCATACGTGTGCGCCGTCGTCGCCGCTGCTCGCTAGGAAAGCAGGAGAGCTGTCATGGCGAGTTCGGCAGCTTCCGCGGTGCGACCGCCGAGGCCGAAGAAAGAGCCGCAAACGCTCGTCATCCCCAAGAATGCGGCGGAGGAGCAGAAGCTCAAGTTGGAGCGGCTCATGAAAAACCCGGTGAGACAAGGCGCGGGCTCGTCGGCCCCTCCGAGTCCCACGCCCTTCCATTCCGGCTACTCTGGGCCTGCCTCCCCCGCCTCCAAACTCAGGAACTCAGTGCCCGAACGCCAGCGCCAGTCCTTAGTAAAGGGTAGGCTGCTCCGGAGAGAGTGAGCTTCTTTCTGCCCTTATGTTACAGCCCAGCCAGGATTGGGGGGTGGGGGATGGGGGGAAAGCGCTGTGGAGCGGCTTTCCGTGTTCGAAGACCTTTTCTAGTTAAACATTTTGGGAACAGGAGCGTCAGAAACATTAGACTGAAAAGATAGAACCCTTGAATTAGCAAAGGGTTATTTTTTTTTTCTAAACAGTATCTTGTTGGAGGTATTAGCACAAGGCGCTCCCCCCGCCCAGGCTTCAGCCCCCTCACTCATAAAAACAGTTGGATGAGGTCTCATCCTTCAGTAGACAGAGCTGACTTTGATCGTGTAGCAGGGTTTAAGTTGGAGGCGTCCAGCCATAAAATATGGTAATTAACGTTTCTGAGTTCTTCTCTGGAAAGTTAGTGTAGCTTTGACAAAGCTGTGGGCTGCGATAGACCTCAAAGTATACAGGGTGAAGTAAAGAAGATAAAAGTCAGCTTTGAGTCCGAGCAGCGAAGCAGCCCCACTATATTGTCTATTAAAATTCTTTGGTTATAAGAGATGTCACGTTGTCAGTAGGTTTATACTTACAAATGCTTTCCTGTTTAAATATTTCAGGACAAACCAGTTCCAATTCCAGAAAAAATGAGTGAATGGGCGCCTCGGCCTCCCCCAGAATTTGTCCGGGATGTAATGGGTAATGTCTTCTGGGAGATATGTGTGCATGTAAATATAATTTTTGAAATATAGATATAAAAACCCTGCAGTCAGTATATGTTAATTAGATCTCAAATAGGAAAAGCTGTTCACGTGACCAATATTTTGCTTTCACAATGAAGGGATTTGTCATTAGAGTATTTTCTTATGCATTGTTTTTAATAATGTCTCATATTGGTTATTCTAAATGGAAACAGTTTTATTTTGTTGGGTTGTAAATTAACATATGCTAACTGTAAAGAAAAATAAATAATAGAGGCATTAAGAAAGTTGGAACCACCTGCAATTTCATTGTTCGACTTGTAACGTTCTGATAGAGCCTTCTAAACCTCTTCATAGTCAAAGCCACCGCTGCTTAAGAAGAAATTTTCTTAGAAAAATATGATTGTTCTACACATACTAGTAATAGTCAAATTTTTTCACTTAATACATCATGGGCATCTTGAGCTTAGTAGAAATTTAGCATGTCAGCCCTGGCTGGTGTGGTTCAGTTTGGATTGAGTGCCGGCCTGTGAACCAAAGGACGGCCAGTTCACTTCCCAGTCAGGGGCCATGCCTGGGTTGCGGGCCAGGTCCCCAGCTGGGGGCATGTGAAAGGCAACCCCCACATTGGTGTTTCTCTCCCTCTCTTTCTCCTTCCCTTCTCCTCTTTCTAAAAATAAATAAATAAAATCTTCAAAAAAAGAAAAAGATATTTAACATGTCATATGTGAGATTATCTGGCAGGGAGGGAAAGGACAGAGGCTCTCAACTAGGTTTTCAGTCACTGAACTGCATTATGTTTGTCCTCTTATTAGTGCATTAGGGTGAAATTTTTAGTGACTTCACATTCACCATTCATGCAACAAGTATTTAATGGGCTAGATTCTGTGGTACAGTAGGGAATAGGACAGGCCGCCCATTGCATTATTTGAGTTTCTTTGGTCACTTTTATTTTATTTATTTGTTTTACTTATTGACTTTTAGAGAGGAAGGGGGAGAGAGAGAAACACTCATTTGTGCCCCCACTTATTGATGCATTCATTGGTTGATCCTCATGTGTGCCCTGACTGGGGATCTAACCCGCAACTTGGGCCAGGTAGATGCTTTAACCAACTGATCTACCTGGTCAAGGCCCTCTTCGGTCACTTTCATTTATTTTTTATCTTATTTTTATTGATTTCAGAGAGAGAAACATCTCTTTGTTGTTACACTTATCCATGCATTCACTGGCAGTCTTATATGTGTGCTGACCAGGGATCGAACCCACTACCTTTTTGGTATACAGGACAGCGCTCCAACCAGCTGTGCCACCCTTCCAGGGCTCTTTGGTCACTTTTAATTAAAGTTAGTCTATGTTGATAGCTGGAGCTCATCAAGAACTCAACTGTCTTGGCTATAGGTTCAAGTGCTGGGGCTGGAAGTGGAGAGTTCCATGTGTATAGGCATCTGCGCCGGAGAGAATATCAGCGACAGGACTACATGGATGCCATGGCTGAGAAGGTCAGTGAGCAAGGAGGCTGGCTGAACCCTTGTGTTTGGGCAATATGTACATACAACTTTTAGGAAAAAAGCATTTGAGTAGATACACCTGTTTTGGGTAAGAGCTACCTTTTAAAGTCAGCACCAGAAACAAACATCAGGTAGAGTCCTAGGTCAGACTCAGCACAAGATAATCACACTAGTTGATGAGTGAGGGGAGGGAGGGTCCCCTTCCCCATCCAGGTCATTTGTCATGAAGTGGAATAGAAAGCAAGGTCTCCTGCATACCATTATTCTTTCTCTTTTTGGCTGCATGCTGCTAATTCAGTTAGCAGTGTTTTTTGTGAATAGTAGTGTGCTCATCCGTATCTGCTTTTTGTTTTCTAGCTTGGAGGCTGGCTATTTTTCATGATGAGTGTCAAATAGTAATTGATTAAAAATTGAGAATTGCTTTAGAAATTGTACTGTAAGAACTGTTAAGCTTTCTGTTACTTGACTGGAAGAGCCAGACGTCTCCTGTTCAAAAAAATTCTCTTTTGAACATATCACTTTTTTTGTTTTTCTAATTAAATTTTGCGGTTATTTTATCCACACCAAAAATCTTGTTGGGTTTTTTACTAGAATTGAGCCTGTAACTTAACTTGAATGAGAATGGACGTTATAGTGTTTAGTCATCCTTTCAAGAAGCTTTATCTTTTTCATTTGTTTAAATCTTTTTCTGTCTCTCTGTGATGATTTATGAAGATTTTTTATATATCTCACCACAATTGGTTCAAAGATTTTAAGTCTTTTGATTGCAGTAATGCTAGGTGGTCTTCTTATTTTATTATTTGATATTAGCAAGATGCAGAAAAAAAAATACTGACTTCTGTATCGTGTTCCTATATTTGCCCACCTTACCATTAATAAAAATCCAATATTATTTGGTTTCTTTGTGATTTTCCAAATCTGATTTTGTCCCTTAACACTGTCCATGAGAGATTGCCCCTTGTTCTAAATCTTAGAGCATCACTGGAAAAGTCCTTTTCCTCAGTCTTATAATGTTGTCATTTCATGGAATACATTTGTACATGTAGAGAGACTCAGATACTTCTAAATGATACTAATTTGTTTGCTTTTTAATGAAAGAGGAGATTACCCAATAGTATTTGATTTTCCAGTAATTCAGTTTTTAAAAACTAGAATCTTTGTAGAATTTATTTCTATACAAAGGAATAAAATACTTTTAAAAAGTAAAACAGCATTCATTAAAAATAGAATACTATTTAGCAACAAAAAGGAACAAATTACTGATATATGCAGTACCATGGATAATTCTTTAAAACATTATGCTAAGTAAAAGCAGTCTTGCACGAAAGAGATCATACTATATGATTCCACTTACATGGAAACCACTTTGTGCGGGGAAGAAGCCTAATCTGTGGTGGTGGGGGGCTCAGAACAGTAAGCCGTCTCGGGGGGTTGGATGAGGGGTTAGCTGGGAAGAGGTGTCAGGGAGCTTTCTGGGCTGGTCAAATTGCACACTCAAGATTTAGGCATTTTGTTGTGTGGAAGTATTACCTTCATGGAAATAGACAAACACTACACTCTAGTCAGTGATGCGTCTGCTTAAATCCTTAGAAGTGAAATGCATTGATGACTGCGACTTACTTTGAAATGCAGCAAAAAGATGGACTGATGAATGGATAGACATGCAGATTGGTAGGTAGATATGTGATAAAGCAAGTAGCAAATGTCAATGGTAGGATCTAGGCGGTGGGTATATGCACTGTATAATTCTCTCAACTTTTCTGTGTTTGAAATTTTTCAATATGACACACTAGGGAAAATATTAAACCAAAGGGGCAGGCAAAATATAGGAAAAAATGTGAAAAATTATTGGAATGGGGAAAAAATGGTTCAAAAAAATATCTTCATGGTTTTGGGATTATCGTGCTGCTTTTCAGCTGGTATTTGCCTGTCCCGCAGCCTTTCTCAACCCCCAAATATTGGTGGTTCTTCTCCGGCTCCTGTTGTCCCCTGGTTGTAACATTGTTAATTTTAGTAGGAAGTTTCAGGTGGCTGGTCACACAGCTATACCAGGTCACTGTGATGGATTTGCCACTGTCAGAAATAAACAAATCTGTATAAAGAAAGTATCAGAAGCACTTTTTTATTTTTAAACTATTTTAGAGGGGAGGAAAGAAGTAGAGCATAGAGCAGGCTGTTACCTCAAATGCCATCAGTTAGTCTGAAGTTCCCATACGTTGCTTAAAGTCCCAGAGAAAATAAAGAAAATGTTTACAAACCTTGAAACCATGCAGATGCAAAGGTTTTTATTTCACATGGTGAAAGACAGGCTCTGGGATAAAGAAAAAAAGAAAGAAAAAAAGAGGCAAGAGTACCTTCATCAGTCACAGTGACCTGTGACAGAGCACGTCTCGCTTCCACCCTCGCCACAGCCAGGGTCAGGCAGCCAGTGAGGCCTCTGTTTAGTTCACCTGGTCAATGCAGCTGCTTTAGCAGCACAGAATAAGACGTTTACAGCTCAGCTTCTAAATAAACCCAGTTCTTGTAGCTTTAAGTCCTTTGCTTTCTAGTTGTCCTCTAATTAAAGCTAATTTTCTCCTTGGAAAAAAGACCCTATTTTATTTTATACTTTCTTTATCACTCTAAGTAGATCCACAGAGGCTTGGCAGTGCAGACCAGCAGAGGTGTTGCCACCTCTTCCTCCTTTGCCGGCTCCTTTATTGCTCCATTGATCTTTATGGCTATGACTAGAAGAAACAGAGATGACACTTTATATCAGTAGATGTCTTCATAATTTATAAGTGCTTTCCTGTAGGTTATCAACTGCATTTCATTATTCTTCCTAAAGGCCCTGGGAGAGAAGTTTTGTTCTATTTTGTTTTTCCCATTTTATAGATCATGAAATTAAGACTTAGAAACAGGAAACTTCTAGGAGGAATACTAGGGATGGGGGGGGGAGAGAACGAGAGAACTAGCAGGTGATGACAATATGTGTCATGCCGCTTTAGAATCAGTCATGATAACCAAAGCTGGTTAGGACTTGAAAATTCCATGGTTCCAGGCAGAGAGGCCAATTCATCTAATGAGTCCCTGTCACTGTAAAGAAAAAACACACTCCTTTGTGTCTCTTCTATTCTCAGTATCTACTATACTTCTGACACTTATGATCACCAGGTATGTGAGAGTTTTCCCACACCAGGCAATTCTGTGCAACCAGCTAGGAGTCGTACAATTTAACTTAATTCCACTACGGTCTACCTGGAGATAGTGGCAGGTCCCTCAGGTTCAGGGCCCAGTCCCAAAGACAGTCCTCCCCCCCCCTTGAGGAGCCTATCAGAAGTCCAGGTTGTCGTCTGTGCTTCTGACCAGCTGGGAATCCGAGGTTTCCCATGACCTGCTCCTCGAGTTCAATTAACTTGCTTAAAGGGGCTCACAAAACTCTGGAAAACATCTTATTTACTAGATTAAAGGTGTATTACAAAAAAGATAGAACTCAAGAACAGCCCAATGGAAGGAACGAGGAGCTTCCATACCCTCTCCCAGCATTTCCACATATTCCCCAACCTGGAAGCAATCCAAACCCTATTCTTTTGGATTTTTTGGAGGCTTCATTATGTCGACACCCTTGATCGAATCATTGGCCTTTAGTGTCTGATTCAGCTTCCAGCCCCTCTTTCCTTCCTGGAGGTCAGGAGGTGGGCCTGAAAGTTCCCCTGTCAACCAGCCCTCTCCCTCAAGGGTTTTCCAAAAGTCACTTATTAACATAAACTCTTGTGGTTGAAAGGGGCTTATTATGAATAACAAAAGACACCCTTTCACATTTATCTCTTGAGTTCTTTTTAAGAACTAGGAACAAAGCTAAATATTAAAAGATATCCCTGTGGCCCTTCTGTGGGAAATTTATGAATTTCTATGTGTCAGAAACAGTGGATGAAGATCAAATAAGTCAAAATATTGCACTAAGGCCCTGGCCGAACCGCTGGTAGTGCTGCCTCTTCCCTCAAGGAACAGTGCGCTTTCTCTTAGCTTTATATCAGCAGGTAATTGTAACCCCACCCACCATTCTTTTGACAGAGTTTCTGTCAGTACAGACTCTGAGTAATGGTTAGTTTATAGATAACATGTTTGTATAAGAATCCTAGGAACTAACCTCAAAAGATACAGACTCTGACTTTCAGACATCCCAGCTCTGGAAGATTTGCGGACCTCCTACCATGGAGCCAGAATGATGTAAAACCAGGATGGCGTGAAGCCAGGATGCCTAAACCAGGATGATGCGCACCAGACCATCACTTTCCCTATCGGAACGCACTGTGCTCATCTACGTGTAGAGAACTTTACAACCCCCTCCCTTGATCTCTTTGTTCTGTCCCCTTTCCCTCATAAAAACTTCTGTGCCACCTTAGCTGGTAGGGCTCAGTGGATTGAGCGACTCAAAGGGTCGCTGGTTCGATTCCCAGTCAGGGCACATGCCTGGGTTGCAGGCCAGGTCCCCAGTAAAGGGCGCTCGAGAAGCAATCACACACTGATGTTTCTCTCCCTCTCTTCCTCCCTTTCCCTTCTCTAAAAATAAATAAAATATTTAAAATCAACAACAACAAAAACAAACCTCTGCATCTACTGAGAAGTGCAGGTGGACTTTAAGACAGGAGTCCCCCATATTCCAGATGGCTGACATCTGAATAAATCACTTTGCATCAGCACCTACCTGTTGAGTATTGGCCTCCCTAGCAGCAGGCAGCCAGACTTGGCGTTTGGTTACAGTTTCTCCTAAATTTTGTTGTTCACAAGTAGTACTGTTAACAGACCGCTTCCATGCCGGGGCTTGCTCTGCCCTTCCGTGGTTCAGAACCTTTTGTATGTCAGGTGACCTCCAGGTTCTTGACTCATGCAGGAACAGTTTCAAGACACGAGTCCAGGTGAAAGTGAGAGTAACTTTATTAAAGCTTGGGGTAGTGAAGGAAGGTAAAGGGTCCCCATTGGCAGGATCAGGGGGTAAGCCCGGGGCGAGCTGCTGCTACCCATTGCGCTCCTGGGTGCAGGTCCCATTGGGATCCTTAGCGCTTAGGCTAGAAGAAGCAAAGTACTCACCTGAGGAAAGTGGGGGTGCAGATGTGCTCAGAGAAGAGCACATTCTGGCAGTCTTCATCCTGGGGGCTTTATCTGTTTTCTATAGGTGGGAATTTTAAGGAAGTTTCCAGGAGAATTCCGGTGTGTCCTTAAGTCTGCTGATGCATTAAAATGAGTATAATGGGGTCTGGATCATTTTCTGGTGTTTTTTACCTTTATCTTGGATTAGTCTGGCTCTAATTGGTTGTTATCTGGCTCCCTGAATATGGTGATTTAAACCATCTGCTCTTAGGCATCTTCAGTTAGGGAGGATAGGGTCTGGTGATTTATTAGCTGGCTGTTAATTGCTCAGCCATTCCCACCATTTGTTCAACTGTCTGTCTTAGTTTCCTCATTCAACTTGCCAGGGAATTTTCCTAGAGTCTTGCTAACCTTCCTTAATACCTTAATGAATTAAAAGAGTTAATTCATCAGAAAGTCCTGTGTTGATTTCCCACCCCTACCTGTGGGGCAACCACTTAAAGTGGCTCTGGAGACCTAGATATGCTTGTAGTATACCACTTGTGTGATTTCTCTAGCTCTCATAGCCCACAGTGTTTCTAAATGCTGTGGGATTTTTTTGCAGCAAAAACTGGATGTAGAGTTTCAAAAGAGACTGGAAAGGAATAAAATTGCTGCAGAGGAGCAGACTGCAAAGCGTCGAAAAAAGCGGTAAGGGCCTTGTGCCATCCCATAACTAATGAGACTTAAGGGCAGGAGACTTAAGGGAAGGTAGATGGTTGATGAATGGTCCTTGCCGTCAAAAGCTGACCTCTGTAACCTGTAGAGGTCTTAGTGGTTACAGTCCACCATGGAGCCGTCCAGTAGAGGAATGGCTTTTTTCCCTGTACCTGGGGAGAAATCAAGTCACTTATTGTGCCCCTCCCCCAGCTTGTTACAGATTCTCCAAAGGGTGGAGGTCAGCACTTCTGTGATCAGGTGGATTTCTGTCTTTTTCACTTCTGTATTTTAACATCAGGTTTCATTAAGTGCTGTGAGTGAACTTCTTGATTTAGCTTCTTCCTAGGGTCTGTGACTTCCCTAGGTCACTGTATGAGTATACAGGCTGCATGTGTGTGTGTTTTATTTAATAATGCTCCCTTGTAGATGTAAGCAACATCCCAATCTGTAGAGAATTTTTATAAGAATTTATTTGAGCCAAACTGATGACAGTTGCTGGGAAGCAAGATCTTAAATGCTCCCCAGGATGGCAGTTTGCAGCTTCTTTTATGCATTTGAAATGAAGGAGGTAAGGAAGGTTAAATGAAGGTTGAAGAAAACAAGGTAGAGACTGGATTGATAGCAGGATAGTTCACCAGATTGTGTGCTCTCTTGAGCCTGGATTACTTCTAAAAAGAGTCATTTCAAAGTTACGTTAATTTAGATGCACTGAAACACTGGACAGGACTTGGTTGAGACAAAGATAAACCTTTTACTAAAGAAGTTACATGCCTGGGGCATGACTACCTGCCTTGACCTACACAATTAGGAATTTATAATCAGATCACCCTGTGATGTGACTTTCAATAGAACCCCTTTTTATCTACTCCCATAACTTCTAGGGAGCTGAACGGGATTCTTTAAAATAGTGCCTACGTATCTTGGAATGAAGAAGCTTCTCCCAGTATTTCTAGATTGTTTTAATCACCTTAGGACTCCTGAGGATTTATCTTGATTTTTGAAGAAAACAGCCTGATAATGTTGATGTTGGAGTAGCAGAATCAAAAGAAAGTATTTCTTTCGTTTTATTATTTGTTTGTGTCCTTATAAAGACTTTAAAGATCCTATAAGTAGATGTTCCTAAAATACACAATAAGGTATCTAAAGAACTAATGTATTTATATTACATTTGTAGCCAAAAGTTAAAAGAGAAGAAATTATTGGCAAAGAAGATGAAACTTGAACAGAAGAAACAAAAAGAAGGTGAGTGGCACCTACTTTTCTTGGTTGTGACCTTTGTTGGTGTTGATCACAGAAGCAGGAATCTGTCAGGAATGAGATCTGGAATTTAAAACTGGTTGGCTGACCAGTGAAGAAATGAGGGCTATTTCTATTAGTTAGGGCTCATTTAATTGCAAGTGTCAGAAAGCCAAACTGGGCTAAGCACAAAAGAAAGATACTAGCTCACGTTAAGTCCAGACAGACCTTTTTTCAGGCAGGACTAGTAAAAGAGTTTCATTTAGATCTCCCTCTGTCTCCTGGCACCCTGTCCTCAGGGGGTCCTCCCTGTGATTGTGAGGTTCCCAGGGGCTGCAACCATGTCTTATTCTTGTCCAGGAAGAACAAGTAAGGGGGTGTCCCTAGCAAATGTGGTTTTTTTGTCCCTTTGTCTCTGATTGAGTCATGCGGCAAATTAAGAATGCTTTTGGCAACAAGAAACGGAAGACTAAACTGCCAGGTAAAAAGGAGTTCATTTTTCTTACATAACAGGAAACCTGGTTGTAGGTGCCAGCCTGGTATGGTTCAGCAGTTCAGTAGTGTCAGGCCCAGCATCCCTCTAGCTCTTTTGGCCTTTATCCTATGGGCATGATAGGGCTGCTGCAGTTCCTGGCATCATACCTATCTTCAAAACAGGAAGGAGAGGGAAAAGAAGTGCTGCTTGTCTGGTGTGTCTGTCTGTGTGTGTCCCCTCCCCTCCCCTCCCCTCCCCTCCCCTCCCCTCCCCTCCCCTCCCCTCCCCTCCCTCCCCTCCCCTCCCCTCCCTCCCCTCCCCTCCCCGCCCCCCCCTCTTTTTTAAGATTTTATTTTCAGACAGAGGAGAAAGGAGGGAGAAAGGGAGAGAAACATTAGTGTGTGGTTGTCTCTTTTGCGCCCCCTACTGGGGACCTGGCCCGCAGCCCAGGCGTGTGTCCTGACTGGGAATTGAACTGGTAACTCTTTGGTTCACAGGCCAGCACTCAATCCACTGAGCCACACCAGCCAGGGCTGGTCTTTTTCCTATCTGAAGAACAAAACTTTCCCAGAAATGCTCAGCAATTGTTATCTTATGTCTTACTCATCAGTACTAGGTCACTTTGCTATGTCTTGCTGCCATCAGGCCAGATGAATAGAAAATAGAATTGTTATGACTGTGTTTAACCTGTCATGATCCATCACTGGGAACTGGGCACGTGGCAACCCAAGACACAATTGAGACATGGTTAACAAGGAGGAATAAAGGGTGAGTAACATGGCAGCATCCCACAGTGCTGCCAGTCTTGCCTACCTCTGAACCCATCATAAGGCCAGAGGTGCCAGTCACTTTCTTGGGAGCCCCTGGGCTGAGAATCAGGGACGGGGAGCCCCAGATAGGAAGGACCAAAGATGCTAAGAGACCAAAAAAAAAAGGGGGGGGCAACTCTCCACAACATTACTGAATCTGGCAATTCCCTAGGCATAATTTCTGATTGGACCATTGTGATTTTGGGTTTTAAGATAAAGTCAGACTGTCACTGACATACTGGAATATGATTGACCCCTTCCAGGACCAGTTTCCTTATGAGTTGTAAATGCACCGTGAGACCCCCTAATACAGCGTGATTTTTATTTTCCCACCATTTCCTAGGAGAAATTACAATGTCTGGGGAAAAAGCAGTTCTACACCCAGTCAGGTGGAATAAAGAAAATCCTTGCTGAGTGTAAGTTTCCAGGGAATTAACACTTAGGTCCAATAAGGACAGACCTCTGTGTGGAACTTCTGAGAAGCCCTCCACCCCCTTCCTTTACCTCCAGTAGTTGGTAGGCTAATAATTTTCATAGCTACTGTGAATATGAGGCTGTTGGTTTTAGGGGCTGCCTTGGGTCTAGGGAGAGGGTAGGGAATAGGGCAAGTTAAAATACCACAGAGCTTGCTGTCCTGACCAGGATTCAGCCATTTTCCACAAACAATCCAAAGAACATTTCTAGACTTCTGAAAAAGTTGATTTTGATGATTATTGTCAGTGTTCATGATGCTTTCATAGAGGAGCAGATGTTGACAATATCTTATTGATATGTTTGGATTTTATTTGATTTTTTTTGTTTCCTCTGTTTCCCCTTTTCTGTCTTTTTTGGAGAGAGGGGATTATTTGAATGATTTTATTCCATTTTAATTCATCTATTGTGTTTTTAACTACAGTTGATGCTTCAATGTGGAGGTTAGGGGTGCCAGCACCTCCATAGGCAGTAAAAAATTCATATATATATCAATATAATTTCAGTCAGTCCTCCACATATGCAGGTTCCCATCCTGGGATGGAAAATACTATTTCCAATCTGTAGTAGGTTGAATCCACAGATGTGAAACCCAGGGGATACTTGGAAAAATCCATTTATAAGTGGACACTGTGTAGTTCAAATTCATGTTTTTCAAAGGTCAACTGTATATCCCTTTTTGTAGCTTTTTAATTGTTCCTTTAGAGCAGCAGTTTTCTACTGGCGTGCTGCAAACATTTTTTAAACATGCAGTACCTATTTAGTCAGGGGCACTGACCTATTTTCCATTAGATTGTAAAATTGAAAAATGACAACAGCCAACACAATAGATGTCCAGTATGAATGAATCAAAATTGTACCTATTTGTTTTTGTCAGATTGGCAAAAATATATTTTTTGGTGTGCTACAGATTTTTAGTAATTAGTTTATGTGTGCCATGAGATGAAAAAGGTTGAAAATCACTACTCCAGAGATTACTGTATATGTATTATTTTCACAGTCTACTTAGAATCAGTATTTTACCACTTTATTTGGAATGTAGAAACATTTTGCTACACAACTTATTTTACCCTTTATGTCGTAGCTGCTTTATATATTGCACTTACATACATTGAAAACCCCATCAGATATTATTATTTTTTAAATTATATTTTATTGATTATGCTATTACAATTGTCCTGATTTTTTTCCCCTTTGCCTCCTCCACCCAGTACCCCCTACTCCCTTAGGCAACCCCTCCACCATTGTTCACGCCCATGAGTCATGCGTGTAAGTTCTTTGGCTGCTCCATTTCCTATACTGTGCTTTTCATTCCCATGGCTATTCTGTAACTACTTATTTGTACTTCTTAATCCCCTCACCTCCTCACCCATTCTCTCCCTCACTCCTCCCTTCTGGCAACCTCCTGGTAACTACCTTTTCTCTTGCTTTAAGAGTCTCTCTTTATCTTTATCCTCTGGCTTTTAAATGATATATCTTGGAGTGGGCCTCTTTGTACGCATCATAATTGGGACTCTCTGGGCTTCCTGGACTTGCATATATATTTCTTTCACAAAATTAGAGAAGTTTTCCTTCACTATTTTTTTTCAGGTAGATTTCCAATTTCTTGATCTTTCTCTTCTCTTTCTGGCACCCCTATAAGGCCAATATTGGATCTCTTAAAGTTGTCCCAGAGGCTCTTCATGCTATCCTCATTTTTTGGATTCTTTTTTCTTCTTCTTGTTCTGTGTGGTGGTTTTTTGCTTCCTTATTTTCCAAATCATTTATTTGATTCTCAGCTTCATCCACTCTACTGTTGTTTCCCGGTGAATTGTTCTTTATTTTAATTAGTGTATCCTTCATTTCTGACTGGGTGTTTTTTTATGCTGCTTTTTTATCCTAAGTTCCTTGAGAATCCTTATAAACAGTGTTTTGAACTCTGCGTGTGATAAATTGCTTATCTCCATTTTGTTAGCTCTTTTTCTGGAGTTTTGACCTGTTCTTTTTTGGGGGCCATATTTCTTGGTCTCATTTTATCAGCCTCCCTGTGTTTATTTCCATGTATTGGGTAGAGCTGCTTTGACTCCGTGTCTTGTTGGTATGGCCTAGGGTGGTAGGTGTCCTGTAGGGTCCAGTGGCACAGCCTCCCCTGTCACCCAAGCTGGGTACTTGAGGTGCACCCTATGTGTGGGCTGAGTACACCCTCCTCTTGTAATTGAGCCCTGGTTGCTTTTAGCAGATCAATGGGAGTGATTTACCCAGGCCAGTCAGCTCCAAGGACTGGCTGTGACCACTGATCACCTCCACCCTCAGTGGAGGATCAGCTGTGCAGGGGCAGGGTGGTGGTGCTCTGACGTGGTCTGTAGCTGCCCACTCGGTGCACTGGCCCTGGGGATTCCCAGGTAGTGCAGGCCAAGGGCAGCCCCGACCTGTGTTTTGGCCAGGGTACCCTGCCTAAGCTATGAAACAATCTGAGATGACTGCTACTTGTGCTGGGCTCAGAGATTCCCAGGTGAAGCCAAGCTGTGCATCTATCTAATCTGGCTGCCATTAGGGCTCACTGAAGCCAGCTGTTGCTTGTTTGATAGGATTTAGGAGCCAGAACCAGCCATTCTTAGGGGAAAACAGCTTAGGTCGGCCGGTAAGTTGGGTGGGATAGAGCTTCTGTGGATCTCCGAGGTGGGCCACACAGTGTTAGCCAGGTTGATGGAGTCTCAGATACTGTACCAGCCTACTGGCTCTATGAGGGGAGGGCTCAGCAAAGGGACAATGGCCTCTGTTCACCCTGATGCCAGACACTTCAGCTTTTCCCTGTGCACCACTGGTGCCCTTCAAGCTGCCACCCTGGTGCTGGAGCTCAGGAGGAGTGAGTGTGAGTAGGTGCGTCTGTGTGTGGGTTCCCCAAGAGGAATGCTTAGGGCTCCAGCAGCCTCCTCCACCAACTCAATCCCCACTGGTTTTTGCATCTAGAAGTTGTGGGGACTTATTTTCTTGGCCCTGGAATCCTGAGCTGGGAGGCCTGGTGTGGGTCTGGGACTCCTCGCTTCCCAGATACCCCTCCTGAGTTTTTATCCACATGGGTGTGGGGCCAGCCCATCCAGTGTCCATGCCTCTCCTACCAGTCTGGATGGATGTGGTTTCTTCAATTCTCTAGCTGTCAGAATCCCATTCAACTCAATTTCTGACATTCCTGAGTGATGGTTGTTCTATACTTTAGTTGTAATTTTGATGTGGTTGTGCGAAGAGGTATGCCTTGTCTGCCTACGTTGCCA